TGTCTTAGGAAGTCTCTGTTTGGTTCGTGAGTCTCGCCAAGAAGAAAAGCTCTTTTTTGTTCGTGAATATCAGCCATTAAAATTTCTATGATAGATCTTGAGTTCATCCTGATTAAAATTTATATCAGTTTGAGACTAGCATGTGTTAAATTTCACTTTGGTTTCTGAGTTCAACCTTGTTTAAAAGCTTAGTTGCTTCAAGATTAGCCTATATAAAATTTCATCTCAGTTAGGAGGATATCCAAGATAAAACTCCATCATGGTTCAAGATTAGCCCGTGGAAAATATTTGTTTTGTTTAACCACTTTAAACTATGTTTGTTGTTTGGTTGAAAGTTAGCTTTTAAACTTCATTTTCTTTTATAAGGAGGTTTGTGGTCACATCCTTCTAAAAGCTCTCAAGATGAGTGGATACTTTCAAGAATAATTCTTAGAGACATTAGTAGGTCAATTTAGGTCAAAGATGTATAAATCTTTGGTGTTTCTCGATATCACTTATCTTTTTACTTTATTATCTTTCCGTTAGTTTTCCATATATCTTTTTATTCAACTACCTATTTGCTTGTTTGTTTTACACAATATTTTCAAACTCTAATTTTTCAAATGATTTTGATTTTAACCAACATGTTCAAGCCTCCACAATTCATCCCTTGCGTGTCTGGAATCACATGTTCAACAGTAGGTTGTTGAAAGTTTTAGGCGCACTTATTTTAATGCTCTTGGTGAATTTGGATCATGATTAGAGTCAGAGACTTAACATATATCTTTTTAACATTATTGTTTCTCCATTGAACCTCTCAATATAGGATCTTAGTGGTTCATCTTTCCACATCCTGATGGATAATATGATTTTCGTTGATTGGGCTTTCTTTAAAATGCTCTAAAGTGGCCCAAAAAATGTCTATGAAGTTCACCCTAAAAATTGATCAATTTGCTCCTTAATCTCCTGAATCAAGGCATATACCTTACTTTTAGAGCAAGGACGAAAAACTTGGACTTCTTGGGGCCTTTCACTCCCTTAAATGAGAACGTCGACGAGTTCCACATATTTGTCAAAATTGATTGTTAAATCATAGGTCCCCATTCCTAATGATTTATGGAGTTCCTTCCTAATTGGGTATTTATTGATTCTTTTAGTGAAGAAATTTCGAAAGGATTTGTATTTTTCCCCTTCAGAACCACCGGTGGATGAGGAGTATGAGGCTCGTCAATGAAGGCGACTCTCTTGGTCAGTCACCTTCTCGTTTTGTACATTTGTCAGTCCGAGGTTCTCGGTTCCTAGAGGTTTCGTCATTGTGATTTGTAATTACTTTTTGTAGAGTTTGGGAAGTAGCAAATGATAGAAATCAAGAATTTTGCCTCTTTAAAGTTGCTCGTTTTGAAATTCTTGAGCTACTGATTGTCTATTGACTATTACTAATAGAGTTATTTTCGAGTGTCACATCCTTACATGATACCATATGTTGAGGAAGAGTCACATAGATCATCTTATCAAGAGGTTTTATAGAAGGAGTAAGCTAGGGTAGATCATGTTGTTGATGTGTTACCTGCATGTCATCGTATTATGGATCTTACACGAGCGGTATAGACACAGGAGATATACACAGTAGTCAAGTATTTGTATTAGGGATTATATATAGTATTATCATTTATAATTTGGTATTTTGATTGTATCATGGATTCAAGATTGATTCATTTTTATATATACGACATTTTCATCTTATTAGATCAATGTATGATTTAATTGATAAATTTTTTATTATGATAGTATAGTTATAATACATGTTCTATTAGATCAATGTATTTCTATAAAAAAAATGTCAAATTTGACTACCTAAAGGGTGATTACAGAAGTGTACATTCGTATTTGTTATGAAGATGCATCTCCGAACTAAAATATGACAAAATGATGGTATGACTCAGTTACAAATGGATATGCATATAGGATTATATTGGAGATACGTCTATGTACTAAATTATGGCAAAAATAAAAAGACGTTTCAAATTTCCATTAGATGTTTCTCTACCACTAAAATGGGAGAAGTAATCCCATTAATCTTTTTCTTTTATACTTTTCTCCTAAATAAAACAAGAGATGTGCTGTTAGGGTGTTTTTGGCTTGAAAGAGAAGTTGTGAAGAGAAAAATAGATAAGAGGGAGTGTAAGAAGAGAGAGAAATAATGATAAAAATAAAATAGATTTGAAGTATTGTTTGGTTAAAGAGAAAAAGAGAAAAAATAGAGAAGAAGGAAGAGTTGCATATTTTTAAAAGTACTATAGTTCTCTTATGATAAATAGCATTTAAAAACATATATATTTATTATTTAATTGGAAAAATAGTCATATTTATATCTTAATTTGTTTTTTTAAGGCTAAAATAAGGTTTTAATGAAAACAGGGCATAAGATATGCCAAAAATACAAAATTTATTGATACAAGCAACACCTAACACCAAAATACACCAAACAGAAAAAACAGAAATGGAAAATAGCAAGTTCTATCCACCAATTGTCACCAAACTCACGCTCTCAAAGCGCAGAGTCAGTAAATTCTACTTTGGACAACAACTTGGTAAGAAAAACACAATGCACCAAGCTAAATTTTCAGCTTCCAAACACTGCACAAATGCAGAAACATCCCAGACCAACATGTATTGACACAATACCGATATTATATTCTGTCCAATTGATCGACAACTTCGCAGCCGTTGTAATTTAATATGAAATTCAAACAATCCTCCACTACGCTTCGGCAAAGCACAATTGACCGGACTAAAAGTTCACACATACCACAATGATCACCTGCAAAAAAACCTTTATAACACAACAACCCAAAACACGCGAACAGTGTCAGAACCGCTCCGATCTACAATGCAAATACCACTCACAACAACATAGATTAAATCCCTCACAAGTATTATGTATCCCTCAAACGCCTAACTACCTGCAACACCCAAACTTTACCAGAGCTAAGAGACAGTATAGTTTCCGCCCCTGATCCTCAACACCTAGATTAACAACTGGGCAGCAAACTCCCATATCGTACTCAGAGAACGCACTCATGCGGATTTAGCATCCATAGTTCCAGAGGATAACTAAACCCGGTCATTTTACTCTTTAACCATGACGAGCAACTTCCCTGCTTTCATATCCTTATTCCTGAAAATCTTATCATTCTGATATTTCCACACAGTCCAAATACACACGAACCATACCGTTTTGATCGTATCAACTTTCCCTTTACCACTTTCTATTAAATAACTGAATTGTGTAAAGTTTTCGTAACCTGAGTTATTTAAAGTTGTCGACACACTCAACCATCTAAGAATTGCACCCCAAATCTCACTCGATTTTGGACACTCAAAAAATAAATGAGAGACAATCTCATCTCTTCCACATCCAAATGATCATAGCCTTTGCGGGCCATTCAATACACCTCTTTTAACAAGATTATCCTTAGTCGAAATTTTGTTTTACCACATTCTCCAGACCATTGTCGATACCTAGTCGGAATTTTGTTTTGCCACATTCTCCAGACCATTGTCGATATCTTAAACGGGATACTCTTATTCCATGCCTCTGCAAACCTTCTCCTTTCTTCTATCCTACTATTTTTAGCAACTAGCTTATATGTTTCTTTTACCTAGTATTCTTTGTTACACCAAAGTCGCTTGTCTTCTACATCTTCATTGTATTTTATTCTTTGAGCTTTTCCATTAATTTCCTCTTCAAACTTCCTTTCTTCAAACTTCCTTTCCTCCTCGTTAAGATTTCCATTAATTTCCTCTTCAAACTTCCTTTTCCATTTTATTCACTGCATTTTATTCTCTGAGCTTTTCCATTAATTTTCTAACCCTTCACTGCATTTTATTCTTTGAGCTTTTTATAATATTTTTAATATCTAAATATCTTAATTAACTGTGTAAAATTTATTGTCTCTTTTTCCTCTATTCCACCACAACGTTACATTCTCTTTCCTCCATTGTATTGTGCATGGTTCCACCACAACGTTACATTCTCTTTCCTCCATTGTATTGTGCATGGAGGTTGATGGCTTTGTACCAAGAAGATGCATAAAACACATTGGAAAAGAGCTTCCCGTGTGAATGTTAGGTTAAGACCAGTCATGACTTTTCGTGTGCTTCTAAACTTGCATTTCATTTCTTAGGTACTCATATTCCTATTGATTAATGTGTACAATGTCTATTGTATTACCAAGCAGAGTGTAGTTTGTGAACAAATGGAGAGTGTAGTTTGTGGATAAATAAAAGGAAACAAATGTATTATCATCATCATTGCAAAAGAATAATATGCAAATGGAGAGTGTAGTTTGCGGATAAATGAAAATAAACAAATGATGTGATTATCATCACTAAATGAAAATAAACAAATGATGTGATTATCACTAAATGAAAATTCATTGTATTAAAAGTGTTGCTAAGCAAATTCTTAGCAAACCACGCCCACCTCTTCGGAATACACTATTGTGGCTTGAAAAGAAGCATTATTTCTTTACATCTTATATTATTTTTAATGTGATGAACAAGACGTGTGACCCCACTAACTTAAATTAGTACTGCATGCTCACATAGCATGTGTCGTGGCAAATGTTTTCCCATGCATCTAACCTAACCATATTCTATTGCAGAGTTTGATGTTGTGGCCATCCAAGCCAATCTAGTGAATACTGCTGCGTTATCTTGCCGAAAGAGATTAACTATAAAGATTTTCACTATAGAGATTTTCATTGCCATTTACATCGCATATTTACAGCCCAAACCTTACATAACCTGCAAAATTCTTAATTCCCCGAACAGATTAACTCCAACCCGGCTGCTACCTCTTCCAGCCTCCCTCTATTTTCCATTACTTTCCCCTTTGTTCTGCTTTTCTCCCCAGTTCTTGCCGTTTCTCAAATATGAAGTTCATAATTAGGCAAATAATCTGTTTCTGACCAACTCTCGTCAAACAGGAACCAAGCAAACCACAAAATATGAGTTTCTTAGCCTGTCTTCTCATTAATTCTACTAACATCTGTCACTGTAGCATTGCAAAAGAAACACCTTTGACAGTTCAAAAGATGCCTAGTTATACAGCCATAGCAAGACCTATGTGAACAAGGTGCAATCTGGGTATCTGCTTCACTTGCGTAACATATGCAGCATAAGTTATCATCAAGGTCTGAATCTACAACACTGTTCACTTCATCACGTTCAGACATAGCGCGGCAAGCAAGGAGGGTCAGAAAATTTTCTAGCTGCTTATATTTTTCCATGTATGCTTCTCCCCGACATGATTCATCCTAAAAAATGAAAGAGCAAAATGATAGAAAAAAGGATTAGTTTCACAGTGTAAACCTCACTTCAACAAACTTGAGTATTAAATCTTCGAAGATTGCAAAAACTGGAATCCTGGCACGAACAAGGAAGAATCTGTTATTTTTTGACAGCTTTCTAATCATTTGAACCACTTCATAAACTGTTCACACTGCTAAAACTATATTGGCGACAAGATACCTGTGTTTTAATACTATAATAATAAAAGTCCTGAAAAACGTGAGGGATTTGTACCCCAACGAAAGATCAATAAGATTCATATTGTATATCCTAGTATTCTCATAATAACCAATATCTCCTTGAGAAAGTTTTGGAATGAATGCTGATCTTTACAGTTGGGTTTTTTTTAGTAATTCAGCATTAAGTGGCACAGACCAATTGGAATTTTCAAAATGTTGGATAAGAGTGCATTTTTGCATCAACTTAGGTGTTCTACAAACAAAGGCATTCTAAATACTTAGGAATCAAAAACATAGAAGGGTGACAACAACTAACCCAGTTATAATTCACAAGATATTGGAAACCATAAAGAACTGTATCGGGACAATCCATGCTTAGAAAAACATCAACAAGATCACTGTTTTCTCGACACTCTGCCAACTTAGCAGCATCCAATAAATTTAACATGATCCCTACGAGAGGCGCCAATACCATGCCTCGATTCACTTTCTCTGAAGATTGGTTATGCCGTCTAAGGGACCTGAAATCAAATTAAAAAAGGCAACCTCTCAAAAAACCATTGAAGGAAACTATTTTCAACAAACCCACATTGTTCCAAATTCTCAAGGGGAATCTTTTAAGGGTCATTTTATGAGATAATAAAGTTGGACTATCAGTCTCTCCAAAGCAATATCCATATATGGAAGATGGATAAGCAATAAAAAAAATTTTGGTCTATAATCTCAAATTTAAGTCACGGGCTTGTAACTTACAAGTCAAAGAATTCAGCATCGGCTGAAGAAGTAATGTTATTCAAGATAAATACAACCAACTCAGTTAACCTCCTTAGGTTTGTTTCTGGTCCAGACAGGAATGCTTGAGGAATCTCACGAGTACAGAACTCCAAAATTTTTGCAAGATTACACGAGAGATCAAATATGACACCACATTTCTTTTGCTGAAACTCCATTACCTGTGAAATAAGTGTATGGAATATAAATCAATGGAAAGAACTACACATATATTGAAGTAAGACAGTAAACCATAAATTTGACCAGGAATTGTTAGAAAAAATTCAATTGTATCCACACAATATGTCTTCCAAACCAAATTACAAGTTAGAACAAAGAAATTGATAAAATACAAGAATGAGTACATAAAACTTAAACCCCGGACTCCATGTAGCATATGTACTAAAACAGCTACAGAACTCTAACTTAAATCTACAAAAATAAGAAGACATTGAGATAACCAAGAACCAAATTCAATGAAGGACAGGATAAAAAAAAAATCATACCTGGTACTTTTCTTGCATTTCTCGAACAGAAACTGAAAATTCTGTCATACTCCAGCTAAGTATATTAAATAGACGGTTTAGGAAAGATGAAAACAATCCTTCATCATTTATGCAAGCTTCTTTTAGCAACCTCTGCATTGCATAGAGTCAAAAAGGGAAAAAGCTCTCTGGTGAGAAATCAATCCAGCAAATATTACTTGGTAACAAAATGTGGCAGTTACATACTTGGAAAAGAATTGATGATGAAGACGACTCTCCATTCTTTGAAAAACTAAAACCAGAACCCTTGCATAATCGTAGAAGTATGTTCGTCACGGGGATCCAAGACCTGTTATCAAATGCTGATAACAGAGCTTTTGGCAGCCTTTGGTTGGCTGCCTCGTTGCTCTCAAAAACTGCAAAATACTCCCTGTACTGCACCAGGGCGGATATAGACTGGAGAAGAAGATCCCTAAGATCCGCACTTGATATCCTTGGATCATTGAAATGAGTAACTACAAAAGTGACCTGGTGAAAATGACATCCAAGCATAATAACTTAGAAACAATGCAAGAAACACTCAACAACTTTGCTAAGGCAAGTTTACAAACATCAGGCAAGTTGCAGCACAAATTACATATCATAATTTGTAATATTCAAATGTAAGGCGGTAAATTCAACATCATAGCTTGTATAACATCCACTCTTGAACAAAAGTTTGGCTACTTTACTTCTTTCAAAACCGGTAAGACTTATCAACAAAAAAAAACTAATCCAACAAAGAATTACATAAAGCAGTAGCAGCAAGACAATGCAAGAAAATGGAACAAAAAAAAATCTAACCTCACACATAAGGCACTGATAGGTTCAATTTAATATCTAACAGCAAATAAACAAAAGAACAAAAACAGAATAAAAATATTCAGTAGGAAAGTTATGAACTTTTAATGAAAAGGACTAGAGATCAAACGATCTAGTCATTTAGGGAAAACAGAATTGTGCAGAAAAAAAGATCATTTAGGGAAAACAGAATTGTGCAGAAAAAAAGAAAAGGATAAGGAGGCTCTTAGAGAGGCCTAGTCTCTCCCAAGAGGATCTTATCCACTAAATTCTGCATACCAATCATTTATTGAAAAATCCCTAGATTCTCTCTCCACTCACCAAATGCCATCTGTCCCACTCATGTGTTAATACAGCTAGCAGAATTTGTACTATTCTATTACTCTCTCTCTCTCTCTTCCTTTCTTATGTTTGCTCTGATATACTTTGCCATATCTACCAACTCTCCCCCCTTCAAGACTCTCCAGGACAAGGAGAAAAGTAGGAAATTCTGCCCTCATTTTCTCAACCAACTCCCAAGAATTTTCAAAGTTTGGCAGATTTTTCCATTTTACCAACACCTCTACCCCACCTTGCTCTCCTTGTGTGTATTCTACTGCTTTCTCAGGTGTTGGTTCCAAGTACCATTCCTCATTCATGCATGCTGGCAAGGGTTGAGGTGCCACAACGGGTGATACAACTTTCTTTAACAAGGATGCATGAAACACTGGGTGTACTCTAGAATCCTCAGGTAGCTTCAGCTTGTAAGCCACTGCACCTATCTTTTGGATCACTTCAAAAGGGCCATAATACCTAGGACTGAGTTTCTGATTCATCCTTTTGGCCAACTTCTTCATCTTGTAAGGCTGGATCTTCAAGAACATTTGATCTCCCACCTCGTATTCCACCTCCCCTTTATGCTTATTGGCCCGATTTCTCATTAAATCCTGAGCTTTAAGCAATTGTTCCTTCAGTTCTCTCAACACTAAATTCCTCTCAGCAGTTAATCTATTAACCTCATCTACTGCTGATGGAGGATTATCTCCTCTGACTAACACAGGGGGAGCTTTCCCATAAAGAGCTTCAAAAGGTGTAGTCCTTAGCGAGGCATGATAATTTGTATTGTACCAATGCTCTACCCAGGCCATCCACTTGGGCCAATGTCTTGGTTTCAGGCCTATTACACATCTTAAATAGGTCTCCAAACATCTATTCACCACTTCAGTTTGCCCTTCAGAATGAGGATGGTAAGCACTGCTATACTTCAATTTGTTACCTGCCTGTTTGAATAATTTTGACCAGAACTGGCTCATAAAGACTTTGTCTCTGTCAGAGACTATAGAACTAGGGAACCCATGCAACCTCACCACTTCTTGAATAAAAAGATCAGCAACTTCTTTAGCTGTGTAAGGGTGACTAAGAGGTAGAAAGTGGGCATATTTGGTTAACCTATCCACCACTACCAGGATTGTATCCACTCGATGGGCTCTAGGTAACCCTCCAATAAAATCCATGGAAATGTCACTCCAGGTCTGGGTTGGAATGGGCAAGGGTTGGAGTAATCCCCCAGGGCTCAGTGTTTCATATTTGTTTCTCTGGCACACTTCACAAGATTGCACATATTCTTGAATCTTCTTCCTCATTCTTTCCCAGTAAACTACACTTGCAATTCTCTTATAAGTTCTCAACTGGCCAAAATGCCCTCCTAGAGTTGTATCATGAAACTCATGAAGTATCCAAGCAATCCTTGGGGATTGTTTTGGAATCATTATTCTCCCTTCATGGTACAGTCTTCCTCCTTTCATGTAGAACCCTTCATGGCTAGCAGGATCTATCAACAGGGCTTGCACTATAGCCTTTAACTTACCATCCTGTTGTATTTCCTCTTCTAAACCCTCCCAAGCTTCACATTGCATGGTGGTGAGGTGATTATACATCATTTGTCTAGATAAGGAATCTGCAGTATTGTTCTCCCTTCCTGGCTTATATTTAACTTCAAAATCAAATCCCAATACCTTAGATAAATATTCCTGTTGCTCCTCCCCCATAACCTTCTGCTCAGTGAGGAATTTTAGGCTCTTCTGGTCAGTATGCACCTTAAAATGTCAGCCCAATAAATAGGGCCTCCACTTGTGTGTAGCCATCACAATAGCCATTAACTCCCTCTCATAGACTGATTTTTTCTGATCCCTGTCAGATAAAGTCTGACTCATATAGGATATAGGTCTCCCTCCTTGCATTAAGACAACCCCTATTCCCTTCCCTGAAGCATCAGTCTCCACAATAAACTCCTTTTTGAAATCTGGCATAGCTAGAACTGGGACAGTGGTCATGGCAACTTTGAGTTCTTCTTAAGCTGTTTGAGCTTCATTATTCCACATAAAGTTATCCTTCTTGAGTAGTTGAGTAAGAGGCCAAGCAATCCTCCCATAATTCCTTACAAACTTTCTGTAATACCCTGTTAAGCCCAAGAATCCTCTTAACCCCTTTACTTTCTGGGGGACAGGCCATTTCAGCATGTCTTCTACCTTCTTAGCATCAGCTGATACTCCACTGCCAGATATGATATGTCCCAAGCATTCAATCTCCTCCTTTCCAAAAGAGCATTTCTTTTTGTTCGCAAAGAAGCTTCTGGTCAAAAAGCACTTGCAAAACCTACTTCAAATGCTTCAAGTGTTCTTCTCTACTCCGGCTGTACACCAAGATGTCGTCAAAGAAAACCAAACAAAATTTCCTTAGGAAGGGCCTCAACACTTCATTCATCAAAGCTTAAAATGTTGAAGGAGCATTAGTTAACCCAAAAGACATCACTAAGTATTCATAATGACATTCATGGGTTCTAATGTTGTCTTGGTTATGTCTCCCTCATTCATCCTAATTTGATGATAGCCTGATTTCAAGTCCAGTTTGGAAAAAATCACAGCTCCCCCTAATTCATCCAACAATTTCTCAATGATAGGTATAGGGAACTTGTTGAGTATAGTCACCTTGTTTAAGGCCCTATAATCAGTGCAAAATCTCCATCCACCATCTTTTTTTTTCACTAAAAGAACAGGGCTGGAGAAAGGACTGGTGCTATGCCTGATAATTCCTGCTTGGAGCATTTCCCTCACTATCTTCCCAATCTCATTCTTCTGATAAAAGGGGTACCTGTAAGGCCTCAAATTAGGAATAACAGCTTCAGGTTTGAGGGTAACTGCATGGTCATGCTCCCTTATAGGAGGAAGTCCAGCTGATAGATTAAACATCTCCTTGAAGGAACTCAACAGCTCTTCCCAACCATCCTCCTCCATTGGATGGTTCACCACCTCTGCCCCCTTTGAATGAACAAAAAATCTCACCCCTTCATCACTAAGGGTCTTGACCATGGCTTTCCATGATGCTTGTCTAGTGCATAGAGCTGGATCTCCCTTGATACTAAACTTCCTTCCATCTTTTTCCCATTTCAAACTGAGTTCTCCAAAATTAACTGCAATATTCCCCAAACTTGCCAACCAATACATCCCTAGCACCATGTCTATCCTTCCCAACTTCATCAAGAAGAAATGTTGACTAAATTCCACTCCTTGTATAAGGAATTTCAACCCTTCACAAATCCCTTGGTTGGTAACTCTTTCTCTATTTCCCACTTCTATTACATAGGTTGGAGTTTCAACTACCTTCACAGCTAATTCAGTCACAATATTGGGGTCAATAAAGTTGCTAGTAGCTCCAGAATCAATCAAAGTTAGCAGCTTTCTACCCTCCACAGACCCAAACTTTGAAAGATTTGTTGGAAGTAAACCCCTCTTTACTTTGCATGGATAGTTGCAAAGTCTTAAATTCCTCCCCTTCTTTCTCTCACTCTTCTGTTTGTATTCCTATCCTTCTTATTTCCTCCTCCTCACTACTGTTTTCACACAATTTCAAACTGATGTGTTTGAATTTGCAAAGGTGCTCTCTATTCCACTTATCCCCCATTTGAAACAAAGTACTTTCTTACTCCTTTCTTCTAATTCTGCTGGATCCAATCTTTTGCCCTTATACTTCTCATTTCCTCCACCACTTGCCCTTTCACCCTCCTTCCTATGCCCTCCTATATCTCCAGAATCATGGATCCTTAGATTCCCTCCCCTTTCTCTCCAAGAACTACCCTTCTTTTGCACCACTTCATTCTTTTTTTTCAATGAGCAAAGCTCTATCCATCAACTCAACCAAATCTTGGCTCTCATGGAGCTTCAATTCAGCTTAAATCTCATCTTTTAAACCATTCAAAAAAATAGAGTCGGGCATGACTCTTTCTTTCCTCCTTAATGGTGCTACCATCATCTCAAACTTCTCCCTATATTCCACCACTGACCCATTTTGTTTCAAACTCAGCAAGGGTCCTAAAGGATTGCGTAAGAGCCCAGGTTAGAATCTTATCACAGCTATTTTGAACTCCTCCCACGTCCTCAAGGGTGCTTGTTCCTCCCACCATTGATACCAATTTAGAGCTCTTTCCTCCATTGCCAACACTACTGCATCCAGCTTGTCTTGAATCCTTACTCCATTCAAGTGAAAGTAGCTTTCGATGCGTACTAGCCACCCATATGCGTCGTCCCCCTTGAAACCTGGAATCTCCACCCTTCGATGACCTTCAACAAACCGAGAATGACCTTCACCACCATGACGACGATGGTGTGGTCGTGATTCTCTTGAGATAGTACTTCGTTCAACCATCTGTCCCTTTCCTCTTCATCGGCCCCACGAATACGGTGTCTCCGGTGTCTTACATGATTACGAACAACACTCTCTTGAATCAGCTGGCGAATCTCCTCTACTGTGACCTGCGGCCGTGACTGGTGGTCCATCACCAGCTGTCGGATCTGGTCCATCGTGACCTCAAAATTGCTCACCCTTTGTTCTATGGCTTCTACTCTGTTTTCCATGGTGCTTCTTGTAACAACCATCCACTTGCGCAGGCGAAACCAAGGCTCTAGATACCAAATTGATAGGTTCAATTTAATATCTAACAGCAGATAAACAAGAGAATAAAAACAAAATAACAATATTCAGTAAGAAAGTTGTGAACTTTTAATGAAAAGGACTAGAGATCAAACAAGATCTAGTCATTTAGGATAAACAGAATTGTGTAGAAAAAAAGAAAAGGATAAGGAGGCTCTTACAGAGGCCTAGTCTCTTCCAAGAGGATCTTATCCACTAAATTCTGCATACCTTCATTGGTGCCAGCCACCAATCATTTATTGAAAAATCCCTAGATTCTTTCTCCACTCACCCAATGCCAGCTGTCCTACCCATGTGCTAATACAGCTAGCAGAATTTGTACTATTCTATTACTCTCTCTCTCTCTTCCTTTTTTATGTTTTCTCTTATATACTTTGCCATATCTACCAGGCACTCATCAGGGTACACATTAGTAGAGGAAGTTCAAATAAAAGAGCGAGCTTCATAAATAATTAATCTTAGAGGGAGCTTGAGGATTTCAAGGGACTCAGATGGCAATTGTACTCATCTCCAGTGGGTACCCGCAAAAACCCGAAAAATAGGTACGGGCACGAGCACAGGTAATTACCTACTAAAATAAGCGGGTACGGGGGCGGGTACGAGTACCTTATTACCCAGCCCCATACCCGCACTATATACATTATTATGTACACATGTTAATCTAACAATTTTATTAAATACATCACTATTAAATTTCTACCTATTTTAATATAAATGTTTGTTTATTTCTTATCTCAACAATAACATCCTCTAAATTTTTTAAATGTTCTTAAAAAATTAAAATGACGAGATAAATTATAAATGATCGATCATTTTTTATTAGAAATGTGAGTAAATGGGTACGGGTATGGGTACTTAGGTATCCATAGGGTACGAATACGGGTATAAGCATTGGTGCCCACGCGGGTATGGGCTCTGGTACGGGAATTTTTTTTAACTGCGGGTTTGGGTACGGGTACTATGGTACCCTGCCCATTGCCATCCTGCCATCCCTAGGACTGCATTAGGAACGATCAGAGTGAATTAATAACTAAAGAGAGAATTACTGAATTTATTATTTAGGATGAGAATGAGGATTCACAGAGAAAGGTACTTCCTTCTGCAACAGAGCCTGGCTCCTATAGAGAGTCATTGCTCCCTGTCCATAATTAAGAAATGACTCAAACAAAGATGCCTCTCATCACACCTCTTCTGCCTGTGTCAATGGAAAATCCCTAAGAATCGGTAACTAACTTCTTTCTCTGCCAGCACAGCAACAAGTACTGCCACGTCTTTTTTTTCCCCTCTCCCTTTTCCCGTCTTAGTGTAAGCCTTTCAACAGTTGAGGCCTTGTGTCCCTTGGTGGACAGGTTGCTCATTTGGGTCTGTTGGTAAAGCTTGGGATCTGTTCAGGATGCTTATATCAAGTGGAATGTTGCACTACTCAACGACTTAAGATTTGAAAATAAAACAGATTTGCAACTGCAAGAAAACACCCTTGATGAATTGAAATATCAAATTTTCTACATCTGGATTGGTGGACAAATGAACATAATCAAGGAGACTCACAAAAACCTCCAATTCAAAAGGATTACCTACTATTTAAGTTCTGGGGGAGGGGAGGGGGAAAGCAAAAGAACCTTAAATATCATAAATATTTTTTATGGGAGAGCAGTGTAAGAGGCCAAGGGAAAGCTAAATGACATCAAGACTACCCCAACTCAACCCAATAATGTCAATGATGAGATCCATATATGCTATTACCTAAGTACCATACAAAAAATAAATTATCCCTTTCTATCTTGATTGTTTGACAGTACAAGTATTTTTAGATACAGCTATCTTAGAAGAGATCATATGAAACCTAAAATATATACCAATGACAAACAATTACTCACAGTTCTAAAGATTCTAATCTAATTCACCGGAATCCAGAAATAAGTATAAAGTATACAGTTTAGTACAAGAACAAGTCAAATATAAAAAATGAAGAATGAAGAAACTGAAACTGAAATGGTGGAACTTACAAATGAAACAAGTCCATGCTTGATCAAAATTGTGGATGGAACAAATGGAGGATCACTTTTCCGCAACACATGAAAGCAATCAACCTGTATGAAAGACAAATGTTACTGCCGGGAGATTTGTTTGCAGTTATAAGAAATGCTCAGAGAAATTGTAATAGAATTAATATGCACTTAATTAAATTAATGAGGCAGACAAAATATGTGGGATTCCCAATCAAAATTAATGCTTTCATTTCATGACCAAAAAAGAAAGTGTAAAGAAGCATACTGCATCAGATATGTGATGGTTAAGTACCAGCAAAACTAAGAAAGTGTATAGAAGCATATAGCTGATAAAGAGATGTGTCCTCTATTGGTGAGTGAATCAAATCTGCTGCTAAATTTAAACCAATGGAAAATGCTTATTTACCAAAGCTTCCAGATAATATTCAGGGGTGTAGATAAACACGGAATCCGTATTGCTAAGAACCAGTAGCAACTGGACAACCCACATGCACATTGCATACATTCCTCGCTGCTTCCATCGAGATAACAAAGAGATACGATACCTGTAAATCAAGAATAGGCCCCGTAATGAAACACAGAATAAGGAAAAAATACAAAAATATGTATCTCAACTCACAAAGTCATCAAAAATTGTGATTGCTGGGTTTTTTTTTTAGGGTCTGTTTGGTTCAATCGAGGGGAGGGGAGGGGAGGGGAGGAATTTTTATCAAGGGGAGGGGAAGGGAGGGGAGGGATTTTAATTACATATATGTCTGGTTCAAAATATGAAAGGGGAGGGGAGGGGAGGCATTTTATTTACAAATATGTTTGGTTCACAAGGGGAGGGGAGGTATTTTAAAACTAATTTACTTTTTTATCCTTCTAATTTTACCATAAGACTTATTATATTTACCGTTTATAATTCAAATACAAATTTATTGACGAAATATAAATATTCAATCAGAGATTATCATGAAATATTTTATAAAAATGCAACGGTTATAATATATAATTGGCTAAATTATAGTTTTGGTCTCCCTATTATTATAAACAAAAACATTACGATAACTAAAATTAACATTAAAATATGAAAAATAAAATAAAAAATTTAAACAAATATAATGATAGTAAGATGAAGATATAAAAATACAAAAAATATAAAAGAAAGATTAAATTTGTTCAAAATAGAACTTTTAACATTGTTATAAGTTAAATTTATATTTAAATAAATAATAAGGGTAAATATGTAAACATAATTATAATTAAAATCAAGCACCTCCCCTCCCCTCCAAATCGAGGGGAAGCAAAAAGTGGTTCAGGAGGGATTTTGGTCCCCTCCATCTACCTCCCCTCCCCTCCATTTACCCCCAACCAAACAGACCCTTAAGGATACTAGTTAGTGAGATTTGAGAAGAATAAAAAACTCAGGCTGAAACAACACACTGAAGTATATTCTAATCAAAGTCCCAAACGTTTATCATGTTGACTTTGTATGAAAGAGAGGTATATATGAACTGTGTTAACTGAAAAGTTAAATAAGTAGCGCAGTTCTGATGTCACTAATAACTTTGAAAGCATGTTAAAAAAAGAGTAAACATGAAACTGATAGCACAATTATTAGAGCTGGCACAGGCTATTGTAAGTCTTCCAACCTTTGGTACAACGAGCATTTTACTAAAAACATATATGCAAATACAAAACAGACAAAAATTTCTATTGTAAGTCTTCCAACCTTTGGTACAACGAGCATTTTACTAAAAACATATATGCAAATACAAAACAGACAAAAATTTGAAAGCACAATCTTCCAGATTCAAACATCTGAACCATTTTTCTATTCTTCAAAAAAACTATCTCTATCTTCATTGGAAATAATTCAGTTCAGTAATCTTAGGGCCCAAAAACAGAAAACATAAACAAAGTGAGATAGGGGATGGTTTAAAAGTTTATGAAGTTAATCAACCAGGAAGCTTCTTATCAACTGTACCCTGAATGTGTCCCACCAGAAATTTGAAAATAAAAAAGAATATAGTCAACTTTGTTTCGAATATCATCTCATAAAATCTGGTTCTCGACTAGTTAGAGGTTGAGAAAATAGTTTATAACCACAGCTACTGAAAATTTCAATCTAAGACCAATAGGAAGTAGAAAGGTACTTGAAAAGCAAAAAGCTTCGAGGGAAAGTATAAATAGTAAGGTAAAATAAGCCTAAATGCTGCTTCATATGGTTATCTTACCAAGCACAATGCCTAACACAGTCAATAACCTCTTCTCTATACTCGTTACGAGCTTCTTTCAAATGCTTCAATTTTTCACCACAAGCTCGGTCTCTTATTTGCTTATCAGTTTCCTCCAAAAGGGAGATTGATTGTGCCTGATGAGTCATGTAATACGATGCCTGCAAAAACAGAAAGAATTACATTCTTATCTCTTTTACATCCTTTCTGTATAATTTCAATGATAGTAAATATCAACTACATGATTGAAAATTCAAAAATCAAACCGACCAAAATGAAGACGGACAGAGTTGATGTCTCGAACACCAGACAAAGATTATCTTACCGCTAGGTTAGATGACACTGATGCAAAGAAAAATTAAGTTTATGCTATTACCAATCTTTACTTGTATACCATCGTTTGTTTATCAAATTCCCCTTTAGATGAAAAATGTATAATGCAAATCATGCTTGTAGAATTTTACATTAAACTGTATCATGAATGTACTTTAAGCAAACCTAGAGGGAGGTTAATCTAATTTAATTGGAGCGAAGACTTCAAATGCATGTTCGGTTTTGATTAATTTGGGATAAAGTTTTTTTTCCAAGTCCAATGGGAAGTATTTCAACTATAAGTTGTTCTAAAACAAAATAAGTTGATTCAAACACACACCAAGTCTCAAACTTAGTTTTAAATTTATTTTGAAAAATATTACTGTATTGACCTTGAAAAAAAAAACTAGCCTCAGCAGAGTGAAACTATTCAGGGACATATAGATTAATAAGCCTCTTATTCGACCACAACTTCAATTTTTCTTTCCCAATCTTTATAAAAAAAAGTTGAGGAATGTCCGAGGATTTCAAGCCTCTCATCATCAAATCATGCTACTCCCTTCGGTACTAGTTTTTCTTTTTTGTTCCTAAATATAAGAAAATAGTACATTCTTTAGGTATATTAATTATTGAGTGTCTTTTTATACACCTTATTTTATTATTTTTTTGCCAAGAAACTCCTCTTACCTATGCAAGTGGGTTTCATTTAATAGATATTACAGGTATTTTTGGAAAGAAAAAAAAGTTAGCATGAACTCCTTTGAATGTGCCCAAGAGATATCACAATAAATTTGGTCAACATGATCTCACCTGCTTAAAATTTGGAGCAAGACCAAATTGATACAGCCATAACAAAGCATCAAGCAGCTCTTCTTCTTGTAGCATATCCATACACATATCAGTATCCTTTGGGACAGACTTCAGATGGTGCACTTGGCGGTAACCATACTCGGGTTCAGATTGATCACTGGAACTGGGTTTATCTGATATCTCACTATTCAAACTCCCATCACTGCATTCAGCAGCAACATGAGCAGGTCTTTCGGGAATAGGGCTACAATGGCCCCGAGACCCTTTGGCCAGGTATTTAGCTGGAACCTTTGAACTCCTTGCAAATTCAGAATCATAACTTGAACAACAGCACGGCTTCTGTTTGGTTGAATGTGTCACTCTGATTTCTTCATTATCCATGCAACCTTCATCCCATTGAACTACTTCCCTTTCATGATCAACTACGGAGTGTAGTTTTGATAAATGGGTATAGGATCCCCCAAGCCTGGAAATATCAGTTCTATGAGGGTCATTTCTTAGAAACAAGTGTATGGGAAAACTTTGTTGACCACCTCTGTGAAGGAAACCAACATCTGATTTGTAGCTCTTTAACCAGCCACAGATATCACCCAATGCAAATCCTTCTGATAAAAAATGGAGCACAACTGTATAAATTGAAACAAGAACTGAATTGCTAGAAACTCCAGGTGGTGGGACATTTCTTTCTGCCCCTCTGTTCTTCAGTAGAAGGTTTTGTAAAAATGTCCTAAATACTGCTCCAGGTAATTGGGGAGGTGCCATAGGAGGTATAAATTGTATAACTAAGCGACAGAGGTCCCGATGCTTCTCTTCAATCTACAAGTGGAAGAGGCATACTTAGAAAATTTAAGGAGGCTATGAAAGAAGCATCCAAAAGCACCATGATTTGAAGAATATTGCCCTCAAAAAAGAAGAAATGCCATTCTTACAAATTCAAAGAAGCAACCTAATCATTTCTAATTTTCTATTGTATTGTTAAATAATGAGCAAATTCTCTATATGATAAAAATGAGAGGAAAAAAATTCCAGGGACATATAATGTTTGCCAGTAACCACTAAATCCTAATCCTTAGTCTCATGCTATGATCACATGGAAATGTAATGGAGCATAAGATTATGACTTGAAAGTGATTTCATAATGAACAAAAATAACAAGTGAATGAAAATCATAAGGAATAACATACTATTCTTCGCATAATAATTAGATCACCTGATTAGGTCAAAAGGCTGTGTTAAGTTGATAAGTTTGACTTCATATTCAATAGTAAATTTGTCTTATTTTCATTAATTGTTTATGTGATCTTAGAACAATGACAGACATGTTACTACATGTATTAAATAGTATAGGAGTGGAAGTAATAAGACACAGTATAACTGAAGAAGTGTCGTGAGAATAATTAAAGACTTTGTCTAAGCATGCAATAACAGAAGAATAAACTACTACATGTTACTCTTTATACTCACTTTAAAAGTGTTCTTCTGTTAGTTCATACAACTCTCATACCCCATCAATCATGACAATGCCATGGATATTTTTTATCATTGTATTAAAAAAAATCAACTCAGGTTATAATAATTAGTAACTAACAATGAAACTAGGTCACTGAGAAAAAGAATATACCTTGCTGATTGATTCAGACAAAGCTGTGGTTGCCAACATCATGTTACCTTCACTACAAGCATCTTCGCATGAACCGGGCCACCAAACAGTGGGTATCATAGAGTCAAGATCCTGCTTGTTTGGAGTTTTTCGTGACATTAAACCTTCAAACAAAAATTCAAAATCTGGTGATTTCCACCAAAGCACCATAAGTTCCTCTCGTCTTAGTAGATGACATGCCAGGGCAAGGTAAGGATATGACCCAGAGTAAGGACATTCAGTTAGAACTAATTGAGTTGTTTTACAACCGCATGAAAGTGCGTTTAGGATGTTTTCAAACAGCACATGTGATCCTCGAAATTGTAGCAGTACTTCAACTACTTTATCCAAACTTGAATAATCATGGGGTGCATGCAACTCAAAAACTTCAAACATGAAGGACAACACTGGACCCCAAACCATATACTCTGTGTGTCCAACATTTTCTTCAAGTATAGAGAATAATTCCTCACAAATAGCATTAGAGACAGGACGGAAAATTTCTTCCAATGAAACAAACCTCTTTACTCTTCTCAATTTCTGAGCTAATGAATGTTCAGCTCGTTCCACTGAATGCATGTCCAACAACCTTGACCAGCACCGAAGCAATCGTGTGAGGGAGTTGCTTTTAGAGGGAGGAGCCTGAAGAGGACGGTAGCCTTCAATTGGGTACTTGAAGGGCCGAGCTCCAAAGTTCAATTCACATCTTTCACCCTCGGAGAGAGAGATTGCTGGGTGATAGCCAAAACCAGGACCCATTTTTTGAATTCCTCTAAATGCTGTCCCAAGTGAATTTCCATTCCTGTAGAAAATTATTTCATCTTGTTCCAAATCTATGCAACATCCGATGACATCACCAACAACCCATGACTGACCATATGTCTCAGCACCCTTGTTCCACTTGCTAACTCGTCTCCCGTCATAGGCATATGAGTCATCAGCATCACCGACACCTTTATGGTCGGTGAAAGGGCAAGAAAGAGTGGCCCAACCAAGCTGCTGTATGCCAGATGTTTCCAACAAAACTTCATACATCCATTTCCCTTTCCAAACACAGGTATTAACCCTTGCACTACTGAACAATTCCAAACTCTCTATAAGAAAAGGCGGTTTGATGATTTTAATATCACCGCATATGCTGGATTCTTCTAGGCCTACAACATCTGGTCTACATATCATATCTCTTTCACTAGAAGAATCACCAATATTTGCATTATACTTTGAAAAAACATTCCTAATGACAGAATGAATAAAAATGCTGTCAACTGGACCATCCAATGAATTTAAAGATCTGTTGGGGAGACCAAACACGTATTCAAGCGTTCTTTCCACCGACTGTTCACCAAAATCATCACAGCAGGAAAGTAACCGAGTTTTCGGCAACTTTTTCTTATTATCCTCACCATTCAATATGACAGCCAGACCAGCTGAAAACCCACCAAGGCGTGAGCTATCTTCAGCCATTTTTGAGCAGAAACAAATCACTTTCCCTCAACTATCCCCAACTCAGCTGAAAGCTTTTCCAATCTCAAATTACCATCAACTATCCAAAACTCTATTGCGCTTGCTAGATAGATATTATTGATGATCCATGTTACAAACAAAATTATGAAATCACTAGGGGGAAAAAAGCAATCTATAAGAAATCGTAAAATTAAAATATGCTCAAAATTAACAAATTAAAAAAAAAAACAATTCAAAAACTAACAAACAACAAATCTATTTCCTACTTATTGCATAACCATGTCTAAGTTCTAACAAATACAACAAATCACGAGAAATTCACGAAATTCCCAACAACAACCAAAAAGTGAGAAAAAAAATCACATCAGTTTTCTAGAAAAGGGGGAAATTATATGAAGGATTGAAGATTTGATGAAAAAATGAAAATCAGCGCGAAATTGAAGCAGCGTCGGACGGAAATGAAAAAGCTTAAGAGGTGATAATATAAATTAAACAATTAAATATTAATTAATGAAAAAAAGAGATAGTTACAGAAAAGTTTCATGGTGTGGGTAAAGGCAAAAGCGGCGGAAGAATGCTAGGGTTTTGTAAGCTCCATTGATTCTGATTCGATTCCATTTCCAACTATTCGTGACAGTCACTGTATCAACAATTGGAGGAAAAGAAAACGTGGAAATTTCCTCGGGGAGAAGTCGTATCTGATTTTTTTTTTTTTTTTGCTTTTGTTTTTTATTACATATTAATAATTATAAAAATAAAAATAAAAAAGTAAAATAAGTAAATAATACTGTAACGGAAAACGAGTTTGTTGTAATTTTTTGCCAAAAAGTTTGGGAAGCAAAGTAAAGAAAAGACAAAGAGCGAACGAAGCAGACACCGAAAACCCGTTCGCGCTGACTCTAACCCTAACGCGAAGGGACTGGTTATCGACACGTGTCGAAAAGAGGGTGAAGTAACCGGTAGGATTGGTGACTAAGATGCTGACTCGACAAGTAGTGCTAGGGTAATCTAATGATATGGCTAACGGAACAACAGGGGCCAACCGTTGCAGTGGTGGACGATAGTGCTGCAAGTATTTTATCTTTTTTTTTTTCTACTTAACTAGTAAATTTGTAATAAAATATTTATTAATTATTAAATATATAATTATATAATTAATAAGTTATTAAAATATTGTTTTAATATTAACAAACAATAAAAACCATTAAAAGATCATTCCATTCATTAAAACTGACAATAAAAAAAATTAATTTTCACATATTTATATAAGTATATATTAAATAAATTTATAAGTAGCATGTATTTTTTCATATACTTTATCAGTTTATATCAGAAATTTATATTTTTTAATTAATAATATTTTGACATGAATAACAATAGAGTTTAATTATAAGGCTATGTCAATATAAAAAAATATTACGAGTGTCGAATCATTTAAGTAATTTAAAATTTATAAATTAATTTGTTGTAATACATAATTGTTATTTATTGAAAAGATAAAAATAATTTTCAATATCAATCCATCTTTATTTTTCTCATAACAATATTACATTCTCGCTTATATTTTATCTTTATTATTTATATTTTCTTTAAGTTTTTTATTTGTCCCCTTTTCATTATTATAATATTAATTTATTTTAAAAAAATAGATTATATATATATATATATATATATATATATATATATATATATATATATATATATATATATATATATATATATATATATATATATATATATGTATGTATGTGTGTATTTTTTTAATATTTATTTTAACAACATGTGTCTTAAGTATTTTTTAGTTAAAATTTACTAAAACATACCATTATAAAAATAAATAAATCCACTTTAGTAAATGCTATATGTAACATTCCGTTATTTTTATATACAACATTTGTATTTGTTTAGTAAATTTTTTTAGTTATTCAATAATTTGTCTTGTGTATAAAATATTGTTTTATTATTATTATTATTATTATTATTATTATATATATATATATATATATATATATATATATATATATTTGTAATTAGTTATTTATAAATAATTATCTTGCTAAATTAGTAATATTGAAATTAATCTTAATTATTTGTGTACTTGCTTATGGTAATCTTTCATATATTTATTAAATTTAATAAGTAACATTGAATCAATATATATTTATTATTTTAATATTTTTATAAATTTAATAATGTTTAATATAAGTATTTAGATTATAAGTAAATAAATAGATATATAATTTAATTTAACGAAGAGTTAGAAATAAAGGAGTGTAACTTATTAATTAATGAGCCAAACCCATGATTCAATTAACTTACAAACAAAGGAAATAAAAAGTAACCTACTTTTCATTAATAAATGTACAGTAACGTGAATTAGCAAACTTGGAATTCATTATCCAGAGTATGAGAGGGGACAAATTTATGTTCCGGAATCAAATAATGTGTTAAAAGAATCTTTCTCGGATTTATCTCAATTTTCGGTACGTTCTTTCTACTAATTATTTTATCTATTATTTTATCTCAAATAATGTGTTTATCTATTATTTTATATCGTTTTGTGGATTGACTAACATTTATTTTATTTGTATTTTCATCAGCGTAATTTTAATTTATGCGAAACTAACGTCAAAACGATTGGGTAATGTAAGCGATATTTTTATAAAGTTTGAATTTTGTTTTGGGGTAATTTTCTTTTATCTAATTTTTGAAATTGGTATTTTTAGTGAATTTTCATATCGTATTTTTAATTTATTCATAAATTATCGAAAACGAAATGATTGGAGGACGACGAGTTGATGGAGCAAAATTTCTACATATGAACTTAAATTAGTAGGTGAAAGAATGATAATGTTAAGATCTTGCTCGTGGTGACAATTAAATGGAGTTCGGAAGTAAAACGATCTAGGTAAGGGCACTTTCTCATACTGGTTATAACAAAACTAATAGTTAGGTATTATAAAATAAATTATATAATATGTAATTTTTATTTTTATTTTGAAATAAAAGATTATATTAAATAAATAAAAAACCCTCAAAGTACAAGGCGATCTCTATCGATCCAGCCCACGAAAACGACCAAAACTACAAGAAAACAAACAAGCTACATCAAAAGCTTAGCTATATGGGTTCTATACTTAGGTCTCGTCCAGCCTCTATGCACAATATTGTCAATGATATGTCTAGTGATGGTATTGCTATCTCTATTACTATCAAAGATCACTTCGTTTCGATGGTGCCACACTGCGTAAGTAGCTTTAGCAGCAGCAATCTTAAGCAACCCCGCCTTCCAGCTCTTTCCTTTTGTGTGCTTTATAAGCCCATTCTTCTCATCTTTCCAAATCATTGGAGTGTGATTAATTTCCAGCCACTTCAGAACATCTCTCCATATTTCCTTAGTGATTTTACACTCAAACATAATGTGGTATAGGCTTTCATTTGGTTCTTTGGCTAATGATGCTCTTTAAAATCCAAGAACTCGTGTTAGTAATGGGAGTTGTCAACACATTTATACCCTTTAAGTAATACACATGCACCCACTTAACCCAAAGACTATCCACCTTCATGCAAATGTTCCACAAACATTTCAGCATAGCAACATAATTCCATATCTCCAGATATATAACATTGAGGCCTCTTTGGTGAATTGGACTACATATTTTCTTCCAAGCCACGGGACATTTTCTGCTAATCTCAACTTTACCTGTCCATATGAAGGATCTGCAGATCGAGTCAATTTTATAAATGACAAACTTTTGGCAAAGGGAAACAGTGCATCCAGTATTGAGCAATAGCAGTGGAAATACTATTCACTAATTAAAATTTACCAGTTGTGCTAAGAAGCTTGGTAGTCCAGTGCTTGATGCAACCAACAATCATGTCTACCATATGGATTCAGGTTAAGCTTTTTGTAGGAAAGAGGGACTCCCAGATATCTTATTGGTAACTACCCCTCATTAAACCCATACATCTTTTTAACCTCGGTTATGATATCAGTATCCATGCCTCCACATAAAAGTTTGCATTTGCTAGGGTTCACATTAAGACCAGTAGACTTTGAGAAGTTGTTGAAAGCATCCAAAATCATCTCAACATACTTTTTGTCACCTCTGCTAAAAAATGAGCACATCATCAGCGAAAGATAAGCAGGTTATAGCCAATTTTTCACATTTGCTATGATGATTGAAATTCGAGTCCTTTTGCATCTTTATCATGGTTCTGTTTATATACTATATTAGGATAACAAAAATCAAGGGGGAGATAGGGTCCCCTTGCATTAAGCCTCTTATGGCCTGCAGAATATCAGAAAATTCCCCATTAATATTGAAGTTGTAAGTGACAATAGTAATCACAACCACAATCCATTGAATAAATTTCCTAGGTAAACCAATCTCAAACATGACACACTCAAAAGATCTTTAAGCAACCATGTCATAGGCCTTTTGTAAATCAATTTGCATCATACATATGAGGGTCCCTCCCTTTATAGAATAGCCTTTCATAAGCTCAAAAGCCAACAGAATATGATTATGTATGACTTGACCTGGCAAAAAAGTTGCTTGGCTTTGATGAATGACATCCTGTATTACTTTTCCCAGCCTGTATGTCAGAACTTTGGATAAAATTTTGTAGAAAGTAGTACGTCCAACTATTGTACTATTAAAAGCCTTGTATAAAGTACCTTTATCAAAAAATACCTAAGCTGCAGCAAGAACATCCTTTTTAATATTTTTCCAGCTAGCCATAAAAAATATAATATGTAACTGTTCTAAAGAGAATTAAAGTTTAATGTTATTTCATAAATTTCAATACTTGCTCGAATTATGAATAATAGTTGATATATTGTGTTTTGTTTTGTGTGTGGATGAAGCTTTTTTATGATTATATGATGTAGATGAATCTTTGTTTTGTTAGTGTTTGTCATTATTATGTGTGGTTATGATGTGAATGGATTACGATTGAAGATGAATGATTATATGAAATAATTTTTAAGATGTTGT